GACTCGCCCAAAGTGACTCCAATATGAATAAAATAGGTAAAATCGGGCTTTAAACTAGACAGACTTTGGGACATTTCTCGTATCACGTGCTCTGTCCGGGACACGCTCTGCCTAGTGCCCCACAATGGGCTGTCCCAAAGCTCTGTGTAAACTCAAAATCAGTCTCAACGTGGGTCTGCTCCTCCGACCTGCTATGGGGATTGTGTCACACGGACAGCCATGGGGAGAGGGCCCGAGCACAGAGGCCCACACGCGGCGGGCGGGGGCGCTCTCGGGCGCGGAGGGGCGCACAGACCCTCAGGGAAACACTCTCGGCGCTTGCAGTAGGGGGCGGCGGGCTGAGCAGGCGGTACCTGGGAACACTCCCTGTGGGCAGCTTGACCAGCGATCCTCGGGGAAACCCGCTGGTCCGTGCGCTGCTGGGGCTCGGGTCAGGCGGTCCTAGAGGTGCCGTCGGGACTCAATAGCCATGAGGCGATTCACTTGCCACTGACACAAACCACAAACTGCTGCTCCCCCTGCCTGTTAACTCGGGGGTTCCCCCGGGTGCAGTCAAAGCTCTTCATGGCACGACCCCCAACGCTGCATTGTCCCTTCCGGTCTCCATTTCCTCCTGCCTCCTGGCACCTGTTTATTCGTAGCCCCTGCCCAATGCCCAGGTCTCTCCACCGCTTTCCCTGTTGGCTCTGTCGGCGCGGCAAGGCATGAGTTAACAGAAAGGAATCACCTTCCCCTTCACATCCTCTCAGCGGCTCATTTCCACCGGGGAGGATGTTTCTGCGCTTTGGTTTAATCTCTGTCATCTCTATTCTCAGGAGCCACAGCTGGAGGGCACCAAACCCCGCTAAGCCCTGTCCTCAGGGGAAAGGCTTTTCCTACCGCCTGTGACCGCCCCATCCCAGGCCGGACGTGATGACGAGTTGCAGGTGGCTCCGCCAGACAGCGCTCCCCCCTTAGACGTCCCTTTGTCACCTTATATCCGCTGGGTGCGACCCGCATGCAAATCCCGGCCCAGGCCTTGCTGCTTAAATACAAACCCAGGGTTCTTCGAGCCTCAGTCTTTGCCCAGACACAAGAATGGAAACTCTGCTGCTTTTCCTTGCCCTGCTCCCCACCCCCCGCTGTCAGTGTGGAGGAGACGGGGAAGGGAAGAAGGGGGAGGGGGAATCAGGGACAGAACCGTGGGTTGGTTCAGTGGCTAATTCTTTCGTCCTTTTGTTTCCCTTTCCCCAAGTGTCCGCTCCCAGGCGCAGCTGGTCCAGTCGGGCCCAGGGACTGTGAAGCCTGGAGAGACCCTCACCCTGAGCTGCGCTGTCTCGGGTGTGTCCGTCACTAGCAGCAGCTACCTATGGAACTGGATCCGGCAGCTCCCCGAGAAAGGGTTGGAGTGGGTGGGGGCTTTGTATCCAGCTTTCGGGGAAAGCACCGACGTCCTGTCTGTCCAAGGCAGAGTCACTATCTCTGGGGACACCGCCAAGAACTAGGCGAGCGGGGCCCCTCAGAGATCAGGACACGCTCGGGGATGGATGCGAACAGCCCACACGCTCCTGTCGGGCAGTGACCCGGGCGGGGCAATTGTCTGTCAGAGGAGAACACAGAGCGCAGGGACAGTCTGAGTCCCGGGTTTTTCTTCCCGCGGGGTACAAGGGGTCTGGGAAGGACCATCCCCGCCCCCCGCTAAACGAGAAAGTCCAAATGATACAAACGGCAGAAACTCGCCGTGCCTCGTGCGCACTGGGGTGAGGCGGCTGGGCTCGGAGTCAGTCGCAGGGATTGGTTCCTGACTCTGTCACTCCCCTGTTCCTGGGAGAGCGCCTGTCAGATCTGTGCCTCTTTATCTCCCCGCCCCCCTTCCTTCTGGGGAGGGGCTGCAAAGCTGAACAAAGATTCTGGATTCTCAATTCGTGTCCATTTGGGCACCTGAACTTTGGATATGGAACCCAGAGAGCGACTCGGCCCGGGGCTAAGGACACTCTCTGGAGCTGGGGGGACTCAAATCCCTGTTCTAATGGGTCCGTCTGGCAGCTCTGGGCGAGAAGGGTCCTGCCCCCTGAACGTTTCCGGCTGGCCCAGGCTGGGAGCTGGGGAGACGGGCGAGCGCAGGGCGCGATGTGTGGGGGACACAGGGACACATGCCCCCAGTGCCCTGGCAGAACGGGCAAGGGGCAGGCCCCGGATACTGGCGCGCCGGGTAGCTAGCGGATGGGCCTGGCACCCGCAGCAGGGGACCCCCCAGCACTCACTGGCCGCGGCGGGAGTAGCAGAGCAACGCGCCTCCAGCTCCCCCGGTGACTGGTTCCGGGGAGGGGACAGGGTCACACCAGTGGGAAACGGAGCGAGCTGGGGCCACGCGGCTCTGTTTAACCGCCCAGGCCAGGAAGATCCCGAGCGTGTTCCCCGGGGCGCCCCGTCCCGCTGCGCCTCTTTCTCCCCCGTCCTGCTACTTTCCCTTAACCCCCCGCCCCTCGGGCAGCACTTGAGGGAGGGCCCTGGGTCTGTCTGCCGGCCGCTGAGCAGCTAAAGGGGCGGGTCTGGCTGGACAGGGGAGAGTGTGGACCAAGGGCAGTCAGGGGTGTGGCCCATCCGGAGGGGCGGAGCCGCGTGTGCACGTATGCAGATGTGTGTGCGAGCGGAGCACTGTGGGAGTGGGAGCGGGCTGACGAGCGGGGCTCTAATTTGCAAGCGGGGCTCTGGGTGGGGTCTGGGGACAGGGGCGGGGCAGCTGGCAGCAGCGGGAAGCGGTGTCGGCGGGGTTGTTTGGAGGTGGAGGTGGGAGCCACCGTGATGTGAGAGTTCGGGGCGCTTGAGGGCTGGCGGGGGCTCTGGGACAAGAGTTTATACTTACCTGGCAGGGGAAATACCACGCTCAGGAAGGTGGGTTTTCCAGGGTGAGGCCCATCCATTGCACTGCGGGTGCGCTGACTCCTGCGATTTCCTCGAATAGAGGAAACTCGACTGCACAATTTGTGGTAGTGGGGGACTGCGTGCGCGCTTTCCCCTGGTATAGTTGTTGAAAAAAAGACGATCCTGTTTTTGCAATGAAAAATTAAGCGACAGATTCCCCAAAAACCATTCCCTTCAGTGTGTAAATCAGAGTTAATGTTTGACGCTAGGAATTGTATTCGCTCAGCTTTGGAAGTTTATCATTCTGTTAAGTATGATCAGTTTATTTCCCCGCGGGGTTGGGCTTGTGTGACGTAGTGGGGGTACTTGCTGGGCTGTGGTGACCTCTGCTGTCTGGAGCAAGACCCAGCAGGGAAAACCTCATTATGCAAAGGTGACTCCATACCGGTTGAACCAGCCAACCCCCCATGGGGAGAAACAAAGGGAGGTGGAATGCTGCCCTGGCTGGGGGCAGGGCTTGGAGAGGGGGGGTTAGTTTCTGTCTGGAAAGCAGGGAAGAAGGAACTGGGGAGGGGGCTGGGATCCCCCCATCTCAAGGGGGCACTGAGGCCTCTTAGCCCCCAGTTCCTGTAACCAGATTACATCTGTGCTATGCTGTATCGTGGAGAAGCAATAAACCACCCTCAATTCTACTGGTTGGGGCAGTCTGTTTGTGCCATTTCGGGGTGCAGGAGACGGGGGACCCCCCAACGCGCCGTCACAGCCTGAGACCAAGAATGGAACCTCTGCTGCTTTTCCTTGCCCTGCTCGCCGCCCCCAGCTGTGAGTGTCCGGGGGGGATGAAGGGGAACTAGGAACAGAGCCCTGGATTGGTTAGGGGGTTAGTATTGTCTTGGCTTGTCTTCTCCTTTCCTAGGTGTCCTAGCTCAGGTGCGACTGGTCCAGTCGGGCTGGGGGGCGGCGAAACCCGGAGAGACCCTCACCCTGAGCTGCGCTGTCTCTGATACTGTGGATAGCGGCGCTGGCTGGAACTGGATCATGCAGCCTGCAGGGAAGGGGCTGGAGCGCATGGGGCAGAGGTGCTATGACAGCAGAAACGAGGACTGGGAACCAGCCTACGCCCCCTCCCCCCAGGGCCGAGTCACCATCTCTGCAGACACCGCCAGGAACCAGGTCTGGCTGCCGCTCCGCGCGCTGACCCCTACAGACAGCGCCCCCTAGTGCTGTGCCAGAGACACAGTGACACAGGGCAGAGCCGGGCCCGCTCTAACAAGGCGAAGCGGGTTTTCAACAGTGCAGAGACCTGGGGACTGGGCCATTGGTCACACTGGGGGGCGGGGCTCTGGCTGTCAGTCTCCATTGCCTTTACCGGGGGTTGTTGCTCACAAAGCTCACATGTATGTGCCGGACTCAGGGTCCAGCAACCCCACGAGAATGGCCCGGCTCAGAGTCACGTAACATTTCCGGATCCCCTCCCAGCCCTCCAAGGCACCGCCTCTGCGCCCCTGCGCCCACCAGTGTGAAGCGCTCGGAGCCCATTTAAAGTGTCACAAACCCTCCTGGCCAGCGTGTGGTTATGGGGAAAGAACAGCGGGCAAACCCTCCAGAAACGGAGCCTCTTGTCCTTGGGAATATCAGGCCGAGATTTGCCAAGTTCTCCTGGGGATCTGGGCGCCCATTTGGGAATACCAGGCCGAGATTTGCAAAGTTCTCCTGGGGATCTGGGCGCCAAGGACCCTCCCCCTTAATAAGGCAATAGAAACATGTAACCGCCCACTTCGCTACCTACCTGTGCCTCCAACTGATAATCAATAACCAATAAGCGGAGGTCAATAATGCATCAGGGGTAAGTGTTTGCGGGTTGGAACAGGGAAGGGTGCGGAATAACTGGAGTCCCAGGGCCCAAAACTCGATTTCTTCGGCGCCTGCTTTGCTCACACGAATAAACCAGACACTAATGGGACAGATGTGTGTGTGTGTGTGTGTGTGACACACCATGTCTGTCCAGGAAGGGCACAGGGAGGCAGAGGGGCCTTTTGATCGGCTCCTTCTAGCTCCTCCCTTGGGCGCTGCCTCGTTATGCAAATCCCCGCGCCGGGCTCTGGGCTAAAGTAGCGGCCCCGGGGAGCTCACAACCACCGTGTCCCCATCCGCCGAGCTGCCTCCTCCTCGTGCACCATGAACTCCCCGCTCCTCCCGCTGCTCCTCCTGGCCCTGGCCCCAGGTGAGTCACGGCTGGAGGCAGTGGGAAGCAGCGCGGGTTGCGGGAGGAGGCAGCTGAGTTGGAGTCTGACCGATCCCTGCTTTTCCCAGGTGCCCGGTCCCAGCTCCAGCTCCAGGAGTCCGGCCCGGGCGCGGTGAAGCCCGGAGAGACCCTCACACTCACCTGCTCTGTCACCGGGGGCACCGTCACAAGCAGCTACTGGTGGAACTGGATACGGCAGGCTCCGGGCCAGGGGCTGGAGTGGATGGGATTATGGACCGGGAGCACGAGCTACAACCCGTCCCTGCAAGGCCGCATCGCCATCACCGTGGATTCTTCCAGCACCAAGTATTATCTGCGGCTCAGCGCGCTGACAGCTGCAGACACCGCCACGTATTTCTGTGCCACACGCTACACAGTGACACAGAACGAAGCAGGGATCGGCACAAAAAGGGGAAGCGGATTCTGAGCAGGGCAGTGAAGCGAGAGCAGCTGGGAGAGCTGAGCCTCCCCTCCCCACACTAACAGGGCTGAATTCTCCAGAAGGGAGCCACCCCACATCCTCCCCTCCCGCACACACACACACCGGCACGCAGAGGATACTGGAATGGGAACTCCCTGATATAAATCCTCTGTTCCTTAGAAAACAGACTCATGGGACTGGAAGGGGCCCAGAGCGGACATCCAGTCCCGCTCCCTGCACTCCTCGCGGGGCTCAGTGTTATCCAGACTGTCCCTGAGACGTTCCCTTGGCCGCAGCTGGGGCTGGAATCAGCAAAACCCTTAATCCGGGTTAGATCCGGCAAAGAGCCAGCCTTTCATTCACACACACAACTGGTTTGGAATTCACTGCAGCCCGTCGGGGCTAGGCTTCTGGGTAAATCAGGCAGTGGCGGTGACAAGGGGAGCTGCTGTGCCCTGGGACACGGCTGAGCTCCGGACCTTGGTCAGGTGGGGACATGGAAGCGCAGACTAGGTTATTGTCAAGACGGCCGAGTGCTCTAAGGCACCAGACACAAGCGCGGGTGGTCTCGTCGCTAGAAAAAGATAGGAGTTCAAATCCCACCCCCGACGTGGCTTTTGTTTTCGATGTGGAGAAGCGACCTCATTTCACTGCTCCCCTCCCCCAAGCACTTCGGGCTTCCCTTAGAGTAGCGGCAGAAGAAGTTAGAGAGACTTCAAATATCTTCAGCCAGTTCAGGGCACTTGGATGGTGCATTCTGGTTTCTCTTCGAGTGGGTCTGGAAGTCGTGAGGGAAATGGGGAATGTCTGCACCTTGGAAACAGAATTCTCGTCCATAAACTAGAACAGTTGAACACAGCTTCCCAACAGGGCGCGTGGCTTAGCCTGCTAAAAGGGCTTCCTCGTAAGCTGGAAATCCTGGTTTTGACTCCCAGAGGTGACTTCTTGTGGCCTTTACTCTTCTCTGCTCCCCTTTCCCAATGTCCTTCTGAGAAACAGAAGAGGCCTCCACTGGCCACCCAAGTGATGGCTTGTGAAGCAAAAGTTTTATTGGAGAGGAGCATTGGGAAGAATGAAACCACAAGCCTGAAGCTGGTGAGGAGGCTGCTGGGACTGGCCTTGGCAAGGTAGGGCTCTGACTGCAAGTGCTGGGAGAGGAGAGCTACAGTCACATCCCTTGTGACTCCCTGGGGGTGTCAGCGCCCTGAGAGCGCGGCCTCTGCAGGTTGGGCAGCGATGGGGAGTTACTCTCCTCTCGCCTCCCTTTGGATGGTCAATGGCAACACATGGAGCGGTTGGGAGAAAAGTCCCATAGGGCAGCACCAGGGCTAAGCTGGCCAAGGCACCTGTCAGGCTAAGGGGGACAGGAAGGACGCAGCTCCCCCTGGTGCCTGGACAAATGTGTCTGCTCTTCCCACCATTTCCCCCGTCTCTTGAGGAATCAGACAGTTCTGCACGTGCCCAGCAGGGCAAGTGTTGGCAAAAGATCGGGGCAGTTTTTTCCCACCAGACTCAGGAGGGGGCACCTAAGAAATTCGGCGACAAGGAAAAGGCCCCGTAACTCCGCTTGCCTGCATGGATCCTGCAGCCAGAGCAGGGAGCATTAAGCCCGGCAGGGCCAGAGCTGGGCACAGGTGGGTCTTTCCAAAGGCCTTTTGCTCGCTGGGTGCAGAGTTCTGAGCGTTTGATACCTGCAGCCCTGGAGGCCTCCTGCTCGGCATCTCCACCTTGTCCCAGGAAACATCTGCAGGGGCTGTTCAAAGGCTGGGAGGGGATCCCCGGGATGCTGCCTGAGCCATGGGCCACTGCTCCCTGAGTCCTCTCGCCCTGTGATGCTGTGACAAGCAGTAAATCACTGGTAGGTGTTGCCCTTGCACAGACACCTACAGGTGGGGCCTCACCCAACTGAGTCACATGAAAGCTTCTGCCAGCCACTCATCCACCAATTCCCTCAAGTCTGCAGCCAGGCATGCTGGCACTGAACCATCTTCCTCTGGTCAGACTTGTGGCCAGGCTGGGTTGATTTCCCCTCCCCTTCATAATGGACTGGATTCTCAGAATTTGACAAATGGCTAGGGACACTGTTCCTGCCCATCGTAGCTAATAGCCATTGATGGGCTTATCCTTCATGAGTTCATCTAGATCTTTTTCTCCACCTTATTCAAGTCCTGGTCTCCACAAATTCCGCAGCGCTGCACAGGGAGGGACCACACCGCACAGCCCGGCTCTCCGGCCTCGTGTCACCTTCACCAGGGACACGTCGCAGGACAAAGTTTATCTCCAGCTGGGCTCGCTGGCAGCTGCAGATGCCGCCCCCTGGTGCTGGCCAGACACACCCAGTGACAACGGGGGAAGCGAATGTCTGAGGATCCAGACATGGACACTGCAGCCTGCAGGGCACGGGGAGGCAGGGCACAGCCGACAGTGGGAGCCCAGGGGCCTTTGCCCCTTCCACTCGGGAATGTGAAACTTGGCGCTTCCCTGCGCCCCGCTGCAATGCGCACCCAGGGGTGCACGCGCACAGGGGTGACAGTTACACACAAGATGCTCCGCGCCCGCCTCTCTGACTGACCCGGTTGTGGGGGACGATTCACTTCTGGGGATCAGGCTGCCTGTGACCCCATTGGGCACCGACAAATTCAGACTCTCAGACTCGGGAACCGCTTCAGGAAACGTTGCTCCAAAGGGACCAAATCTCAGCGGTGCTGGGCAGGAACGTTTCCACCTGAAGTCAATGAAATCTGCAGGGGCCCTGCACCGCCAAACATCAGCGCTCTGGCTGCAATGCATTCTGGGAGGACGGGTAGATATAGGGGAAAGACGGGTAGATGGATCGGTGGGAAAGGATTTGGGTTCAGTTCTGGTCTCTGCCAGGCACTGCCTGAGAGACGAGTGGGTCACCCAGTTCCTCTCTCTCCCTGCCTTAGGCCCCATCTGCAGCAATTCCCCTTCTCACTCCGCTTTCTCCCTCTCTCATCCCAGCAGCGATTCATGAGACTTTCTCTTCGCAGCAGCTGCAGCTCTAGATGCGGCCACTCTGGGGCGCTGTTTCGAAGGAAAATTGAATTCGCCCTACGTCAGGATGAGGCAGGGCAGGGAGTTGGGTCAATTATACCATATCCCGTGAGAGAAAAGCTAAAATTCCGGTGTCCGTTCTTGTCACTCTCTGTTCCCGGGGCGTTCGGGAGCTCGACAGGGTTTTTCGACGCAGGGAAAGGACAAAGAATCGGATTTTCCTTCTTTGCAACAGTACAGGACTTACTATTCTACTGATTGTATCCCAATGGAACTTACATCGCACTAACAGACAGGCGTTGTCCAGAAATGCCGTGTTAGGCTCCAGGAAATGAATCTGGTCTTGAACATAGGACTGGCCGAACCGGGCCAGAGCAATGGTCCATGGGCCAATAGCCTGTTTCTGCTCCCACTCAGGAGCTTGACTTGTTAAGGGAACCTCCCACGTGCCACGGGTCAGTTCGGTGCAGCCGATCGCTGCAGGGGAGGGAAAGGGGCTTCCGGCCGAAATCCAGCCCCAGTGCTGCGGGAAATCTGCCCTCCCCAGCGGGGTCCCGGAAGAATGGCTCCGTGGGACACAGCTCCTCCTCGGACACCGAGCCAGTGATCGGCGCTGTCTGGCCCCTCTGCACACGGGAGGGGGCTCCAGAGATCACTCTCCCCCATCACCTGAGAGTCACCAGCCCCTTGGTCCCTGTGTGTGGAAACAGTCACTGCAGGGAGCTGCTCGCTCCTCCAGGTCCGAAAGTGTCAGGAGGGTCCCAGTGCCCCGTGCCCGGCGCTGCACAGAAACCAAGGCGGGGCAGTCTGACTCCTGCACCCGGAGCCCCACGGCGAGTCACACAGATCCCTGGGAGAAGAGGATGGGTCTCTTATAACGCGGGGTATGCAAATGAGGAAGTCAGCGATCTGCTTAAATCTGTCCCTCCCTCTGCCCAGGCTGCACCTGCAGGGACAATCCGCTGCCCCCTGGGTCTGGGCAGTGACCAGCCAGTCCCGCAGCAGAGACAATGAATATTTTGGTCCTTGTAATTTTGGCTGTAACGGCGTTGGAAGGTGTTTTTCTTCTTCTGAAAAGCCTCAGAGATTCAAGAATATTACATTCCCGTTGTGTTGATTCCAATATTTATAACCGGTTTGTGTTCCCAGGTGCCCGGTCCCAGGTGCAGCTAGTGGAGTCCGGAGGGGATGTGAAGAAGCCAGGAGAGGCTCTGCGCCTCTCCTGCAAAGCCACCGGCTTCACCTATAGCAGCCACAGTCTGTACTGGGTCCGGAAAGCTCCCGGGAACCGGCTGGAGCGGGTGGCTTATATAAGGAACGAGGGAAGTACGACACACTTCCTTGATGCTGTGAAAGGTCGATTCGCAATCACCAGGGACAATCCCAACAACCTGCTGCACTTGCAAATGACCGGCTTGAAGCCCGAAGACACCGCCCACTGTTACTGTTCCGCGCACACAGCGACACACATCCTAGTAGAGAGTCTACAAGAACCCAGCCTGCACCTCCGCCTTGAGCCGCCTGGGGGCAGCAGTGACCATGCGGCAGTGTCCCTGCAGCTGAGCGGCCTGCAGACACCGTCCTGTATCGCTGCCAGATACACACGCCTATGTAGCCCTGTTATAATAGAGCGTAGCTCTTGCACAAGAAGCCCTCTCTTACCAGCCATACTGTAAATCTTCTTGCGCTCGAGTGGGTGGGCAGTGTGTACGCTTTCCGGAAGAACGCAGTTCTTGTGCAATAATGTGCCAGTGTAGACATAGCCTGTGAGTGTCACAGGGTCACACCAAAGTCCCCTCTAGTAACCCACAGTCCTGTTTGCCAACGGAGGCCACTGTCAGGGATGAACCGAGCAGCGAATTATCAAGTGATCCACCTCCGCTTGCCCATTGCCAGATACTTCTTCGACCCTCTTAAACCTTTGACCTCGACAAGATCCTTGGGGACAGGTGGAATATTTAGACCTAGACTCCTCCTTCCACCTCTTTAGACTCCATCCCTTGCGTAGCAATAAGCCCGGAGCCTTTACCCTCAGTTGGCCTGCAGGAATCACTGTTACCTTTAAGCAGCCAGCAGAGATGTGGGGCCCCCACATGTGCCAGGCCTCTCTCTCCCCGAGGGCCAGTCTAGCTCAGCCTTCTGCCTCCTACAGGGGCCAACACCCGCTCTTGAATAGGAAGTAGCCAAATATTTGGCAATTACCAGCTCACCCGCTATAAGGGGGGAGATTTCTCGTTCCCGCTCCCCAAGTATTTGTCTGACTCGGAAAACCTGGGAGTTTGTTTTGTTTCCAAAACTGCCCCGCACCCCATCTCGGAGAGCTCCCTGCCCCGCTACCTGTGAGCAGCACAGCGCCTGGTAACAGCAGCCGAAAGGCTCCATGACACTCAGCGGGGCAGAACGAGAGTTTTAGCCCCTGGGCAAGTGTCCGGCTGCACAGGGCAGGCGGGGCTCTGGCTCACACTATGGTAAATCTCTGCTGGACACGGAGTAGGACTGAAGAGATAGGGTCAGACAGTTAAAGGCCTCGAGCCCACCGATTTTCGCTGCCGTTTGGGCTCTGAATTCCAGGGGCTGTTTTGAAATCCCCACCAAAGCCTCAGGAGAAGGGGGCAGTTTCTCTTTCCCAAATTTTCCTTCATTCCCGAGAAGGCGCTGCTTTGCCCTGACATTTGGCTGGGAATTTAAAAGATTTTAAACGGCAAAAAGTGATTTATTTAAATTCAGTTTGGGCTTCCAAATACCTTTGGCCGTTTCACAGTTGGCTGACTGTCTGGGTGAGGAGGGGAAGGGGAAGGAAGCGTCCAAGGGAGAGACCCCACCTGTAGACAGATCTCGCCCCCTTTCTTCATTCATATAGTCATGCAGGGAACCCAGCATGCAAATCCCTGCCTCGCCCGGTCCTGGTTAAATTCACCCTCTGACCGGAGCAGCCTCATTCTCTCCCCAGTCACAGACCTGCCCGGGCCTGGCTGCTGGGTACAGTTTGCGCCTTCACTGAAGATGAACCTGCTGCTGATTTTCCTCTTCGTGCTGGAGGCGCCTTCAGGTACGTGGCTACTGGGGGGACAGGAAGGATCCCTGACGTAGAACAGGAGCTGTTCGAGCAGCCCAAGGGAATAAGGTGCCCGGATCCCAATGCAGTTCTGTGGGAGTTAGGTGCCTCATTCCCTTATGCGGGGTTCCAGATACTAAATTTCCATGTGCCCAGGGGACAGGGCCTGGCTCTCTCCGTCATTTCCGTGTTTCCCTCCCAGGGGTCCTCTCCCAAGTGACGCTGAAGGAAACGGGCCCGGGAGCGGCGAAGCCCGGGGAGTCCCTGACACTCACGTGCACCATCTCCGGAGACTCGGTTTCCAGCGCCAGTGTTGAGTGGAGCTGGATCCGGCAGCCCGCGGGGAAGGGGCTAGAATTGATGGGGCGCATTTACTACAGACCGAGCAGGTGGTACAATGACTACGCCAGCGCGCTGCAGAGCTGAGTGACCATCGCACAAGACACCGCCAAGAACCAGTTCTCGCTGCAGCTCCGCTCGCTGACAGCTGCAGACACCGCCACCTATTACTGCGCCAGAGACACAGTGGCACAGAGCGCAGCGGGGCCCGTACGAAAAGGGGAAGCGGTTTCTCCGCAGGGCAGAGATGCAGGTCCCGGGCCATTGGTCTGTTCGAGGGGAGTTTTTCTTTACCAGGTGAATTGCAGACAAAGCAGGTACCGGCTCCCCGGTCCATGGCTGCAGTTACATCCGCACATCCGTGCCCGTGACAATGGCCCGGCTCTGACTTTCTGTTCCCCCTTCAGCCACACACAGACAGGCCCTTTCTGAGCCCCCGTTACCTGTTCCCGCTCTGAAATGGTGAGTTACCGTCCGCTCCCTTCTGCGGCAGCAAGTCAGTTGCAGACTTTCAAAGCAGGCAACTGCTCACATCACCTAGTGCTGGAGGCCCAGTCCCACTCCGCACTCTGCAAAGGGATTTTATTAGAAGTCTTATAATCACTCAGACTCCATCCCCAACACATAAACTGTCCGACTCTTGGTGTCCAGGGACAAGAATCAGCCTCACTCTACAACGAAACAGTTCAAAGGGATTAAGGGAACTTTTGTTTCAACTCCCCAGCTCAACTGTCCAGAACAAGACAGGCACCACACAACAAAACCCCACTAGCCTAGGACCTATTCCATGAGAGCAGCCCGGTGCTTTTTCCTTCAGGGACGGACAAAACAGCCTCTGAAGCAGGGTGGATTGATTTAAATAGCTTTGATTTAAATCTCTAATTTTAATCATGATTTAAACTGGCAAGCAGAAACCCTAGGTTTAAATGAGTAATTAATCATTTAAATTATACTTTTAAAATATTTTCCTAATATTTCCTGTTTTACCTCATTTATTATTTGCTAAGTGGTGCCTACTTTTTTTAAAACATATGATTTGCATCTACTTCTGTCTGGAGGGAAATTCTATTTAAAATAAACAAAACCAGCATTTAATTTTGTATGAAATAAAGCTACCTTAAATGTGAAGGACACACAACAAACATGTATCCAAACACATTTTGCCTCTAAAATTCATTTTTTAAACAAAGGAAATATCCCCGTCTCCTGTCACCAGTCCCCACCTCCCCCCACTCATGGGTGCAGCGCAACCCAGCTCCACAGACAGCGCCCCCTCTCCCCCCCTGTCCCTGGGAGCAGGGGAAGTTGCCAGCTGCCCCCGCCCAGCCAGGAGCTGTTCAATAGGCTGAAATGGTCATTTTGGCCTGTCTGATGCGTCAGACACCCCTGCCCACTGGTCCTCCCTATGGCCCATCTGTGCGCCATCCTCCATGTAGCGACACCCTGCCTGCCCCCCAATCCAAGTGCCCACACACTGCCTGCCCCCTCAAGTCCCAACACCCACACGCTGCCTATCCCCCCCAAATCCCAAC